CATTAACTATGTGAGAAGTGGCATTATCAACCAAGACAAGAATTTTTTTGCATTTGAGATGATTGATAGTATTTAGAAACTTTATCCAATGTCCAAAAATTTCGCTTGTCATCCATGCTTTCTTGTTGGCTTCATATTTGGCACCGAGATTCTCCTTTCGAATATTCTTGAAACACTGAGAATTTGCTGATTTTCCAATAACTAGCAGCTTAAGTTTGTCTGTACCAGTTGCATTTGTGCAAAGCAAGACAATTATCCGCTCCTTATCTTTCTTTTTTCCTTTGATTGGCTTGGTGACAAGTGTCTGATTAGATGTTATTCGAAAAAAGAGACCAGTTTCATCAGCATTGTAAACATCCTCCAGCTGGTATTGTGAAAGTAATTCAATCAATTTCTGTCTTTGCTCAGGAAGATTTTTGATTGGTACACTCTCTGACTCTCTGTGAATTTTAAATCGTCAAATATCATGTCGTTTCTTGAACCTATCAATCCAACCATGGCTTGCCTTGAAGTCAACCTCTGATATATTTAGCAATTCAGCAAATTTTCTTGCTTGAAGTTGCAGAAGTCCATCTGTCAATATTTTATTTTGTGAAAAAACCTGATAGGTCCAAATACTCAGAGCATCTTCCAATTGTGTGAACTTCATTGGTCTGTTAATCATTGTTTTTGATTTATAATCTGTAAATTCTTTCAATAATCACTCATGTTTTGCCTTCAAAATTTTTGAAACTGTGCTTTGGTCACAACCATATTCTTCTGAAAGTTCATCGATAGTGAGGGATGAATTGGCTTCTTTTCGTTGGTACATTTCTTGTTTTGACTTCATAATCAAATGCATTCGCTTCTTTCGTGGTCATTCTAATTCCTTATTTATAGTTGTCATTTTGTTGTCATTGGAGAATATGCTGGAAGGCTTGCCAGAAGTTAAATTTGATCAGACAATGGGTATTGAAGTGTGAATTTGAGTGCAGAATTTAGAGTTTGGTGTCAGAAGTGCAGAATTTAGAAAGTGGGTAAATAAAACAAGATACAGCCTGTACAAAGAAAAATTTGATATAAAAAAGATGAGATACTAATTCAGTAAAATTGATAGCTTATTTAGCATCCACTATTTGTTCTATTACAAGATTTGAAGATGATTAGGAAAAGAAGAAAAATAATAGCGATAGTAATATTGAAACCACAGGTAAGAACTTTGTTATTTTTATTTATTCTGATCAAGCATTTCTCTCAAACATTCGAGAGTACTTTTATATATACAGTTTTTGGATCACTACGCTAATTCTAAGGTTAGTATCTTTACATTAATCATTTCTCTCGAAACTTTCTAAAAACAATTAGATAATATTTTTCCAATTGTTCAGATAATTATTCTTCAGATCATCATAATTATTACGCGCATTATATCCTTTTCAATCACTATTATTATGTGTATTATGTGTTTTCAATTGTTCAGATATTTATCATTCTCCAGAGATTCACTTGTTACTGTTATATTGAAGAACGATGGATATTCACGAAATAGGAAAAAAAAGGTAACGTCTATTCATAATGAAATATTTCCAAATTTAGCTTATAACGAAACTAACTTTGGAAGGATTATCACGTAGGGATTATCAAGAAAAATTAGAAAAGGATATTCATGTGAAAAATTAAGAAGTGGAAAATTGTGGAAGTAAGGAATTTAATGTCGCTATGATAATAGTTTGAAGAGCTGTGGCTATGTGAACTTTATAGTGTGAGTAATCGATTCTCAAATTTTAATCGATTCTATAAAATTAATCGATTCTAAATTAATCGATTCCTATTCCTAGAGGGAGATGTATATAGTTAAAGTTCGATAAAGCGAACCCACGATAAAGCGAACTCACATTATAATGAAGAATTTTCAGGAATCAACCTATTAACAAAGAGCTTGATATAACGAAGAATAATATAAATAGTACTTTATAACGTTAAGTGAAGTTTATTTTTGAATAACTCAAGGTCTTCGGTTTAACTGTATATATGTATAATAGAATGTGTGACTAGACATATCGATATGAATTTTTGGATCTGGCACAACATCCCAAAAATCATAATTCCGACAAGCCATAAATTTATGGATGATGGTCTTTGCAGATTCGTAATGCTAACAGTTTATCATGAACAATATTGTGAAAAGAGTTTCTTCCGAACTTATTTCCCACATAATCATACGTAAACGTCCGTTACCTGGGAGTATGAACCACGACCACTCAATAACTCTGGTGCCATATAAGGGGATGTGCTCCCTTAATATTATTAATACAACCTGTTTCGAATTCATAAACTGAAAGGTCTAACTCTCCAATATAATAAAAACTATTATTATAGAAAATATTTTGCATGTTCCCTGGATGAAGAAATAAATCAATTATAAATTAATATGTAAATATTTATTAAATTGAATAATATCACAATCCGACAAATGAAATCTCGAATGAACAGCATACCGAAAGGATGAAATCTCGAATGAACAGCATACTGAATGAATGAAATCCCGAATGCACGGCATACTAAATGAACGAATGAACGAAATCCTGAATACACAGCATTCCAAATGCACGAATGAACGAAATCCTGAATACACAGCATTCCAAATGCATGAAATCCCGAAAGAACAGCATCCTGAATGAACGATATATCCATACTGAAAGCACGAAATCCTGAATGCACAGCATCACGCATATACAAAATCACGCATTTACTAATATTCCCCCAGGTTTCTGATTAGATACAAGTAATTTTCATCGCTGATTGGTTGACTGTACACCAGGTTTTCTAGATTAATCAAAACAAATCTGACACAAGAAAATTAAAAATGTGAATAATGTGAAATATATGGAAAATCTGGCTTGAAGCACTAATCAAAAATGTCAGGAGGCAATTTTACGTATAATCTTATCCTCAACTCTAACCCAACACTAAAATTAATCTTTAATATCCTCAACCAATCAGAAATCTGGCTGGGAAAATTAGTAATGCGTGATTTCGTACATTCGGTATGCTGTGCATTCGGTATATCATTCATTCAGAATGCTGTTCATTTGGAATTTCGTGCTTTCAGTATGCTGTGCATTCGGTATTTCGTTTGTTGAGCTTCTGTATTATCGGGATTGTGGTTGTCAGGATATTGAACGTTATCCAGATTTTATGCAGCGATAAGTAACATGTGATACTGTATACTGTACATACTATATATATTAAGAATGGGATAAATTTATAATGTTTTCACACACAGAAAAGTGAATTTTATGACACAATAAAATTTTTATTATATTGATGTTGATATCAGTGGGGTACATATAATTAAGAGTGAAAATTTGATTATGTTGATAGTGATATCAACGGGATATATAATATCAAAGTTGATATATGTGGGGGAATTTTTATAAGAGGAAATTCGTTCTATAATCAATGTTGCTAATAGAGGGATGTTAATATTAGCGAGATTGATATTAGAGAGGGCAGACTGTATTAACATTAATAATTTCAAAATAATCAAGATCACAGAAAATAAGTAAACTATAACTAAAAGTTACTGATATAATAACTTACTATATCAGTACTAATAATATTCATTCATTTTTATCTTTTATATATTCATGTGCAAAATAATATTTTATTTCTCTATAAAATTTCTGTTCTTTTAAATTAATAAATATATTTTTGTTCTGGATATTGTCACAAGTTCTGAGTTCAGATAAGTAATCTTGTAACATGAATATTCAACTAATGTTTATCTTGATAAGTTAATAATTTTAATTTAGTTGCTTTAGAATCATAACGCTATGCAGTTTCTTCTATTTTATTAATTTAGAATAAATAATACTACTACTAGGGTTCCAAAAAAAAGTCTGGTTCAGTTTGAGTCTGGTTCAGTTTGAGCTTGAACCGGACTCAAACCTGATGAAAAGTCCAGTTCAAAAATTCAAACCTAATTAAAAGTCTGGTTCGAGTTCAGTTCAAATTTTGAACCAGACTCGAACCTGACAAAAAGTTTGGTTCGAGTTCAAGTAAATGTTTGTTAATGTTCTAAGTAAAGTTGTAGATCGTAACATGAGCTACAAATTGATATAAG